TTCCGATCTTGCTGACGCAGACTGAAAAGGGGATGGACACTGTTAAGACCCCCAGATCCCCAGCCAAGAGAGCCACCCGTTTCTCACGAGAAAAGCTTACTATGAACTTTTTCTCCTTTTTTTCTTTCACGCTCTTCTTTCATTGAACCTGTCTGTCTGTCTGAGATTTTCTCTCTCTCTCTCTCTCCCTACTGTAACAGAGAGTCCTCTACCTGAATCAATTATTGTCTCTTTTGGTGCTCACCTGCAGCTAAAGTGTGAGAAAGTGCCCTTTGAGAAGTTATCTTTATAGCAACGTAGGTCATCTCAACACTTTCATCAACCTTTTATTGGCAATTATGCATACAAAAGGCTGTTGATACAGGGGCAGCTTAGATGAGGTCCCAGTACAGAGGGCTTTTTCTTTTTTTAATTGGATTAATAACAGCTATTTCATGTCATGCTTTCCTACTGGTTGATGATAGAAATGGTTAGAGTGCCCCTAGTGTTCACTTCGAGAACAGCTGCTTTAACATCCGTGACAGCCTTTGCTCAAGCAGCACAGCTCAGTGAGACGCTCGCATTGATGGTTGCGGAGTGGAAAAAGACATAAAATTTCAAATAAAAGAGAAGATGGCTGTTAAAGTAAAACACAGAGGGATAACACGTCGGGAACAGGAACGCCTTCTAGAAATAAGCTTTGGCTTACAGAGCAGTCCTGCATTACCATCTCAGAGGTATTTACAAGAGCGATTACTGTGATTATTATTTCAACAATACCCTGCAATGCTCTTTCATGGGCTGCCAGCCTGGGCCGGGGTAGGGCGGGCCTGCCAACATTGTCGGTCTGGGAATTTGTCTAGGAGCTCTATAGGAGGGCAGAGAGGAGGTAGGAGGGAGAAACAGAGATGCGATGGTAGAAGAAGAAAAATGCAACACAGTTCAAAAGGGCTTCCGTCCTTCTGAGGGGTCACAGGATGCCGTCCTCCTAACATGATTTTGTCCTCTTTCACTTTCTCTGCAGCTCCCACGGAGCCTTTGCTGTGCAAATTTGCCGACGGAGGGCAGAAGAAACGCCAGAGCCAGAGCAAGTACCCTCAGAACGGGAGGCCGTGGCACAGAGAAGGCGAGGTAAGATGTTACGCCAATGCAGAAGTCCTCACTCAACGTGTCCCAAAAAATATAAAGAGTTGATTTACTACCGCAAAGCATAAAAACAATCATTCATGGGGTGCTGGTCGGGTGCTGGTCGCAAATCAGTGCGCCAACTAAATCCTTAGAAAGTTTTTTTATTTCTACATGAGACAAGAGTGTTTTCTACAACAGTGCATTTTGTATCCAGTTTCTTTTGTTTGCCATATACAGAAAAATTGAATCACCTGACCGAACAATTTTGCAAGATTTACAAGAGTATGAGTAAATTATCAGCTATAGAAACTGATCAGTAATGTTAATATTTATCAATTTAACTACAAAGTTTTATCACAAAGTCCATTCGCTTTCAGCTACATGTTAACTCTCACCTCTGTTCGGGATGGTGTCTAGCGTTGGCCAGCTTGACATTTCTCCAACGGTGCAATGACTCCAAAGAGGTCAAAGTCATCAATCAGGGGTCAGTGAAAAGAGACAGGTTTTACAATCCAGCATGAGGATTGGATGCTTCTGTGATTGCTATCTGTCTTAGTTAGTTAGTAATGCTGATAATCACAAATTAATTGAATAATCACAGCAATATGCAATATATGTCTTCACATTTTTACATAATTTCTTTGAGTACAGCAGTTATTCTTTAAGAACTGGAGACCCAGATATGACCAAAAAATGTCAGTCAACTCAGTTAAACTCTGTTCATTCCAAAATGATGAAGTTCTAAATGAGGCGTTTACCTCTGAGGTAATGGTATTTCTAATAGCAGGTCCCATCCTTCTCACCAGGCCCCTTGAGAAGTTGGCTACAACATCTGGCTTTATGTAAACCACCGCTGCCTGTCATTTTTATTTAGTCTAAGGTATGGAGCTGTTAAAAAAAACAAAACACAGATATCGATCAAACTGTCCCCGGATATATAGGCGCTGTCACGTAAATTGCATCTCAAGCCAAACGCCTCACTGAACGCGAATGTTCCCGCCATACATCAGAATGCTGGGAAACCAGAAATTGGATACAGTGCTATGGTAACATATTCATCAGCAACATGTGGAGACAAGGTTAAAGTCTCTTCATAGGCTATACTGGGAAGGACACACAGAGGAGACAGGTAGAGGAGTGCTTGAGACTGGACAATATAGAATATAATGAATACACACACACGTTCAGAGAGGCTGACAGTTTTGCTGAAACAGCAAGGTAGAGGAGACCAGGAGAGATGAAATGTTTGTCCTTCAGGAAACACATGCACTCTGTGTGTCTGTGTGGGTGGTGGAGGTGCTCTGTGTGTGTATGTATAGGTGTGTGTGCGTGTGTGTGTGTGTGTGTTTGTTGGGAAAGGGTTGGTGAAGTATTACACTCGCCGTGCATGTTTGTGTGTTTCTGTCTGTCCATCACATGTTCAGCAGCCCTACCACCTACAAGTCAGTGAAGCGTTTTTAACCTAAATCACATTGCTACATCCCCTCACAGATCCACACATTGACAGGGTCAGCTCAGTTGACTTGAGTTAAAGTGAGATCACTCTGTATGTGTGTGTGTACTTTATCTTGAAGGGTCTAATAAGAACCCTACACTGCCAAACTGGAGGAAACACCCTTTTTGTCCTTTTGCTGTATTTATTCCCCACCCCTTACCTCCTCTACATTAAGCACACACCATATCTGACCTGAGCTCAAAAGAGCTGTTTATACTGTGTCACACCAATCCTACCTCCTGTAAAATATCTTTATTGCTTATTTGCCTTTACAAATACATTCTTGAGGAAACATAATTGCTCCCTAGATAACATCCACTGGCAATATTTCTCCATCCAGGATGTATGATGTCTAGATACTGCTTGTAAGTGATATTGAAGATGTCATGTTGGGTTGTTGGCATACAAAGCACTGGACTTTTTAGGCCTTTGTCCTAAACATTGTTGGGTTACAGCAACTACTGGCTCAAAACTGAAATGAATTGGTCAATTTATGAAAGCTTCTGGCAGACAATCACAACATTGATGCGTGCGCAAAGGGGCTACCACAGGACCACAGTGTGCTCTATTAAATGTCATAATGCACTTGGGGATTCGTACTGATTGGATTTATCTTATATATCTGTATTGGACCTACATGTGCAGACTTCTCTCTTTCTCTGAACAAAAATAAACATATTGCACACATATAGATGATGATAAGAGAGAACAAAAAGAAAGCAGAAAAATGGGAGGGAAAGGAGTCTTATATTATCCTATATTAGAATCTCACGTGTGTTTATCTGACCAATAATTGTGAGCACCAGTTGAAGAAAAGAAACAAGCAGGATAAGAATAAGTTTAGGGTGAGATTTAATGCCCATCATGTAGTGGAGAAGGTAAATGTTTGGGTTAAAGGACTAATACATATTGTAGACTTAATTTACACCTGACATGAAGACTGATAGCTTATCTGGATATTGACATCTGATCATACAGTACACCTTTGTATTCACAGCTGGTATTATTAAGCATTCTCATTTTCTCGACTCTTGGATCTCAATATGCAAATTTGGTAGGCAGAGCTGGTGGACTACTTATTGTCCTTTGCGGAGGTAGGGGTCATCTGTCTTTTTGCCTGGCTTGCTTGAGAGAGCAAAAAGATGCAGAGTTACGTGACCTTTCAACAATTTTTTTTTTTATTGTTTAGTTTATTACTTTTACAACTGGCTGAGATCCAATCACAATGCAATTCTGGCCACCTCCAGATATGGTCTGGCTGGCCCGACAGGATTCAGATTGTAATGCATTGTACATGTATCTACACATATAGGGTTGATATAAAGACTCGTATAGTATGCTGTGCATGTGTGTCCTTATGGTCACTGATCCGCTGTACAGGCAAGGCAGGGGGAAATGGGAGATAAGCATCACATGTTAGTCTGTTTATCAGAGCTGAGGCCATTCCTTACGTCGCTCCCTGTGGTAGGCAGATGAGGGCGAGCAACAGCCCTTCTCCCTCTCTCTCTGTTTCTACAGTATATCTCGTATCGCTCACTCTCTTCCTCTCTCCCTCTGTTTTTTTTTCTGTCTTTAAGCACTGTCTCTTTCTCTGCCACTCTCTGTCTCTTCTTCTCCTTGTTTGAAGTCTTCCCAGATCCCACAGCAACATACGGAGAGAGAGAGTGAGTGACTCACTGAGACTAAGAGAAAGAAAGAGAGAGGGAACACATTGCATGATCAGTCAGGAGTTACAAGGGGTTGAGTGCTGCAGGGTGGCTGGTGGTGAGGATTGAGAAATATATGACAGATTTTCTTGTAAACTACCCAAAGTGGGAGTCTAGAAAGTGCTGTCTCTCGCTGTCTCATGCTGACAAACATATTAGTCACTGCATTTTTTTCTGCCGCACACACAGATACAAGCGCCATGGGTGCTCATTCTTTTCTCTCTCACTCTCTCTCTTTTCACTTCCTCACTCTCTTTCACCAACACACACTCCTCCACACAAAAACTTTCAAAGTCACACTTCTCAAGCACCTACTCTAGGGGAATGAGTGTAGATGAAAAAAACATCCGGCTTTCCACTCTGTGTGAAAGCCTGACAGATGTCTGTGTGTGTGTGTGTGTGTGTGTGTGTGTGTGTGTGTGTGTGTGCGTGCGTGCGTGCGTGCGTGCGTGCGTGCGTGCGTGGCGTATGGTGTGTGTGTGGCCACAAGGCAGGGAGAATAAATAGAGAGCGAATCTGTGCATGGAAGGCAAAAATACTAGGAGGGAGTGGGTCAGTGTGTGTGTGAGAGAGAGGGCACAGAGACGATGGCTCGGGTCGGTTTTCCTGTATAAGAACAGTACACCACAGGTGTCCTCACCGCTGTCTAATATAAGCTATCCTCACCCGACCCTTTTTAAGATCTGTGGTTTAACACACGGATGCTTACATGTATACACAATTTTTTTTTAAATCTCTTTTATTGGTATGGTAAAATGCATATACATTTGCATGGAAAATACATTAGTTCAACAAAATCCATATTGTATACCCAAGAGCATGAATAAAAAACTAGATAGTTATTCACAACTTGTTAAACTTGATTGACTACAAGAAGCAGAAACTGAGTCATTCTCCATTGCTTTTTTGTAAGTTTGGATCCAATTGTCATTAAACCACATTTTGTAATTTCACCATACCTGCAGTAGGAGATAAATGTTAACATTGTTTGGGTATGATTATGCAAGAACTTTAAATACATAATATTTGGAAAGAAATGTTCTGTTAAGGCTGTGTAATTCAATTTCGACCTAATTTAGCATGCAAAATGAACATACGTAGCTTCTCCCACTTAGAAAGCCATGTCCGTGGCAGCTGTTGTCAGGTTGAGGTATTTTTTTAGTCTTTAATCAAGCTCAGACAAAAACAAATACGCAAACTGTCTATCTTTTCCTTTCTCTTGCATCGGTAATCAGTCATTGACCATGCAGGTTTCCCGGTCAGGAGCTTCTCTGCTGTGGAATGCATCAGCACATGGAACCAAGGACAGCACTTAGGGGAGTTATCAGCCCTCACCAGACAGCTGGCCATGTCTGCCACTGCTATTAGTGCGCACGTGAACACACACTAGCACACACAAACACGCAGAAAGGCATGTAGCGAGTCTCCTGATCTCACATTTAGGAGAGTAAGGAGAGTATATAAATACAAACACAGAGACTTTTGCACATATGGTCTCACAGAAAGAAACATCCATAAACAATGAAGGTGAAACTACACAAATAAAGTAGTAGTTGAATTAACACAGGGCCTGATGCAAGTCATTTCAACTGGCCTTTTTTACCTTGTTTTGCAAGTACATTCTCATACAAATTGAACGTAAAGTTCTACCTCACACTCACACACATGTCCACACATCCCTAGTGGCAGCGAAGGCTTATTAATTCAGTGGAGATTCTCTGTTTTTGCTCACTCTCATGGGCTTGGTCTAGGCTCACTGATCCCCCTGCTCCTCTGAGCCACTATTCCCTTAACACTATAGCTCAGTGTAGGTAGCCCTCTGGAGGGACAAGGGCAAAAAAGTGGTACAGAAAGACAGGAGGAGGGTAGATTAAGAGATGACGGGGGTGAGGGATGAAGAGAGAAAGGTAAGGAGAGAAAGGAAGCAAACACAAGATGATAGGGAAAGAAAGGAGGGACAGCGAAGTGAGAGAGAGGAAGGGCAAGAAAAGGGAGTGTGTGTATGTGTATATGCTGATGAAATCTGCCGTCCTCAGCAGCCTCCCGTTAAAAGAAATCGGATTAGCTCTCCTCCGGGAGAGAACCTTCAGGAATGCAGATGACGGATTGTGGCGCACAGGTTTCTCTCCAGGTCTCTAAAAGGCCCCCCTCACGCACACACGTACACACCATCAGCAGACAAAGAACTCAGTTTTTCGCTTACTCCTTTTCTCTCCAAAGGGCATTTCTTCATTTCCTCTCATTCATAAAAACATGATGGTACGTGATTGAAATAGAAAAAGAGGCATCCTCAATATCAATTCACTTTGTCCTATTGACTAAGCTTTTTCCCACATTGGCTTTGTCACTTGTCAGTTTTTCCAATTTGTAATGAGTTGATTTTGATTTCATTTCATTTATTTTGAACAAAAAGAATCAGGGTATAAATTACATTATTCCCGCAAGTACAAGAAAGGTACAGCAAATTATTTTGGTGACATTGGTGCAGGAACATATTGACAGATTTCCCAGAGACAAACAGAATACACTGGCACAAAGTTACACACAGAAGACAGCGACAGAATGTGGTCCAATGCCAATGTCCAATATATATATACTATAAAATTTTGAAGATATTAATCTTATCTGATAAATCTCTACCTATGAAATATTGTGACTGTATGTCAGTGTGCAGGATTTGTGGGTTAATCAGTTTTTGGCCCTGCAAACCTGCCACTAAGACTGCTCTATTGCAGAGACTTAGATGACCAGATTTGTACTACTCTCATGTATGTATGCTAAATATGGAGGGACAGTAAGGTGATTGGGCTAGCTAATCATTAAGACTGAAAACAGGAGAAACAGCTAGCTTGGTCCTGCCCAAAGGTACAAAAAAGCTGCCTACCAGCACCCCTACAGCTCACTAATTAACAGATTATATCTTGTTTGTTTAATCTGTACAAAAAAATGAAACGTAAAAACATACAATATTATCAATTAACTGTAGGCAAAAAAGTAAATAAGCACCCAAACTCCCAAAATGTTGAACTATTTATTTAATAGCATGCAAACACAAAGATGAATACAGACAGATATTACATAAAAAGAAAAATTGTTTTGTGACCTGTAATGTCTTTTCAGTTGTCACATTTTTCTTTGTTGCTGTTTAATGTATTTTAATATTTATTTAATCCAACTCTCTTAATTTGTGATTAATCCTGCATGTTTATTGTTTTTTTCTCTCTTTCAGACTGGCATGGCGTTAACATATGATCCCGCTGCAATGCAGAATGGGTAAGAGCTTGACAGTCAATCCATCCATGGCACCATCTAATACACTCACCTCTTGGCTCATAGGATCCCAGTCAATAACACTGCCATACATAAAGATCAATGTAGTGTCTGCACTTTGTTACCGTTTGATTAAGGAAATCTATATGGACTTCAAATATCAGTTTTCATTGGTAAGGTCTTGGTTTGGGTGACAAATGGCAAAGGGTAGCTGAGTGAGCTTGTGTGTATTTACGTGTGTTTGGGTCTTAATGCATATGTGTGTTCCTGTGTGTTCCTGTGTCTTTATGTCATGACTTAATGGTGCTGTGGAAATTAATGACCCTGCGACGTGTTTTATTTTTCCCCACAGTACTGAGACAGGAAGGAGAGTGCTGAGGCTACCCTCTATCTCCCTTTGGCCTCAGTCATTCACAGGAAGCTCCTCATTCCCTGCTTCCTAAACCACTTATCCCCTAGTGACTCGCAGTCAACCTCAACCAAAAAACTGGATGAATGGCATCACTCATTACACACATCCTGCGATGTAAAAGCCTGCTTTGCTGCAAATCCGCCAAATTATAATCCCACAGATATTTGTGTTAAGCAACAGACCGGCTAAGAAAGGAATGATTGACTTTGAATACATTCGACCAGAAGTTCTGCCTAATGAACATATTCCAGCAATGGGAAATAGGTTGACTTAAGTAGCAAAGAATGTAAAAGTAGTCAAAAAGTGTTAATGCAATGTAGAAAATACAAAACAGAGTGAACCAGTTAGCAGAGAATGGAGAATTATTTAGAACATTTAATTCATATGTAAATGCTAAGTAGAAAATAAAAATGCAGTTGAACTGAAACTGAACATGTAAAACAGAAACATTTGTCAGACTGTGCTTACTGGTACATCAAAATTCAAGTGCAAATTAGAATATCCATCTATCCATCAATCCAATTTCTGCAGCTTATCTCGGGCCGAGTCATGGTGGCAACAGGCTAACTAAGGTATTCTAGACATCCCTCTCCCCAGTAATGTTTTTCTACTTCTGAAGGATCCTGAGACATTCCCAGGCCTGAGGGAATAATCTTTTCAGCATGCTCTGTATCTTTCCTGGAGTCTAAAGTTGGACATGCCTGGAAGATGTCTGAAGGAAAGTGCCCAGGAAACATCCCGATCAGATGCTGAAACAACTCAACTAGCTCTTTTTGACACAAAGGGGCAGCAGCTCCTCTTCAAGCTCTCTCCAGGTGTCTGAGCTCCTCACCCTGTCTCTGAGGCAGAGCCGAGCCAACCCATTAAGTAAACTCATTTCGGCCACTTTCAGTCACTACCCAAAGCTCATGACCATAGGTGCAGGTTGTAACGTAGACCCACTAGACTGAAAATTTGTCTTTCGGCTCTGCTCCCTCTTCAACAAAACTGGTACAATGCCTGCATTACTGCGGACGCCACACCAATCCTCCTGTCGGTTTCATGCTCCATTTTGTGAAAGGATGCAGCTTTTACCCTGGTCCTAGTATCCCGGTACCCCATACACCACCAATAAGGTTGTAAACCTCATGTAGAGGTAAAGAGCTGGTCCACTTTTCCTAGACTAGCATGGAATCTGTATTGCTTATCCTGAATCTGGGTTTCAACAGTCGGCCGGAGCCTCCTTTCCAGCACCAAGGGAAAAGCTTCCAGTACATCTTCCAGTCCCCTTTTTGCCATCCTCAACAATGTCTCATCCACACTTGGCGCCTTGCCGCTGAGAACCTTCCTTAATAATCCCCTGCTGAACACAACCTGAGCCAAATCCTGCTTACCCTTCCTGAGTTGGCTGATGCTTTGGAACTTCCTTGAGACCAACCAAAAGTCCGTTTAACAGTGTTTTTACTTTGGTGACCACCGAAGCCACAGCCCTTCTGAGCCTTTGGCTAACCAAGCCCAAAAGGACTCTGCTTGAGGGATTTCTTCACCGCTGGCATCCACCAGAATGTTCCTGGGTTGCTACCATGATAAGACGATCTTCTGACCACACCTCCAAGCAGCCACCTCCACAATAGAGGCTTTGAACATGGCCCACTCGGACTCCATGTCCCCAACCTCCCCTTTTATGCATGAGAAATTTTTTAGGAAGTGGGAGTTAAAGACCTCATGGACAGGGACCTCAGCCAGATGTCTTTAGTATCCTGCACTAGCTCTGGCTCCTTCCCAGCCAGAGAGGTGACATTCCTAAGGCTGGGCGGTAGATTGAATTTTATTTTCAATTACAATTTTGGCTTCCAACGAGTATGAAAACGATAAATGAGATAAAATGATTATTGTGCCTTACTCCATTTCGCACCCCTTTCCTTTACAGTGGTACGCTTTCACTTCTCCCCACCCAAATTCACTCAAAGCCAGGCTGCCAGGCTGCTGCATGTTCAGTTCAGCTCAAGTTAAGATGACAGAAAGAGAGCCTTTGGCCGTATTCACACCAAATAAGGCATTGTTGAGATTAGTGCAGGGTTGTTCGTTCGGGGGTGCGGGTGTGTTACCACTATAAAATAATTTAAAAAAAACCTCTGTAGCAAAGGTCTGAAACTTGTAATGACGTATCAAGCTGTGTGGGACTCAAGGACTCCAAACAAAACATTAGGGTCAAAATTTAATGAAATACACAACATATAGAGCTGATGCTGTAGCTTGAAACAGCATGTCATCAAACCTAGTACATAACTTGACTAATATCCTCGGCCAGTAATATGATCTTCAGCTCTGGTGACACAGACTATTGGACGTTCCACTTAGCCTCCCAGGGGATCACAGCGACATTCGCTTGCTATAAACCTTCAGCAATGAGATAAAGTAGCGAAGCTGACCACCTTGCTTTTTGCAGCTCATGTCAAACCTTACCTTCTTGAAATGCATTAAGTTTTCTCCAAGCTCAGCCTACAGGCCTGCTACTTAAGCCAGCCAGCCAGTAAGGTACAGTGTAGCCTTAATACTAGAATCCACATAGAAAAAAAATACAGACAACCTCCTACTTTATACGATGACAAAGCTCAGTCTGATGTGATAAAATCCGACTTTTCAATTGAGAACACTATAAGACACTTCATGAAACTTTTATGTGGTGTTCGAAATACAATATATAGCCAAGTGTTTGCTCTGAACAAGCTACGTGGTAAAACCAATGTGTGTCTGTGTGTGTCTGTGTGTGTGTTATAGTTTGCAAGTGTGTTTTTCTCTCTTATATAGACAGAGAAACCTTTGTATAGACAGAGATCTGTCAGCTTACACCCAATTTTTGTATTAAGGCAACATCATTTCATGATCTACTGTACATACCTAATTTGTCAAACTAATACTGCTGTTTTCTCCTCTTTCTGTTCTCTCTACCTTTGACTACTCTTTACCTTTTCTCCACCGTCCCTCCCCTCTTTCTCCCCTGATTCTTCTTCCATCTCTGTCCATTCTCAGGTTCTACTCCTCGCCTTACAGCATCGCCACCAACCGCATGATTGCACAGACCTCCATCACGCCCTTCATCGCTGCTTCCCCCGTTTCCACATATCAGGTGGGCCATAATGCACTGCATTATGGGTAGATTGCTGTCTGTATATGTGTAATAGGAGGGTTTGCTTTGTGTAGGGGGATGGAAGAGAGGGGGTGGGCTGCATAACAGCGTGAGGTTCTTTCTTCTTCTCTCATCGTTTCTTCGCCACTCCAGCTGTGCGCGATGACATCTGTTTCGTAGGCGGCAAACACAACAGGCATCAAAAAACAAGCAACAAAAAAGGGATTAAAAAAAGGCTGACAGGGTAGAAAAAAATAAAATCACCCATCAAGAATGAAAGTGTCTAGGAAAAACAAACACTTTCCTCCCTCCCAGTTTCCTGACCTCTTTTGTGCTCCCTCAGCTGCTAATGCAATGAAGGCGGGGGGGGTTTCGTTTTTAACTAACTTCGATAAAATCACTTCCTTTTCCAAAGTGAATTTCCACATTCCTCATGGCTGTGATCTTTGGAGTAATGAAAGAGAACAGAACAGTAACGTGAAAATTGGCTGTGTGAGATGTCAAGAGCATTAACCACTTTCCGTCACTGCACATTTCACGCGGCACCCCTTGCTGAATCTAAACATCAAGAGGCACTGCCACTGTGCCCTCTCGCTCAGACACTATCGTTTAACATCGACTCTGTTTGGTATGCAGAGACAGACAGACAACGATAGTGAGCAAGAGAAAGGAGATGAAGGATAGATGGGAAAATAGAAGGGACAGATGGAGAGAAAGACAACTAGGGAGAAGAGGAAGGATAGTACGGGTGGTGGCGATGGCTCAGGTGGGGGGGAGGGGGTGTTGCTGAAGGTTGCTGTGCCCGTCTTTGAGGCACGCTTGATTAAAACTCTGGTCCAGTACCTGCGGTGGAAGGGGTAGGGGAAAGAGGAGGAGGGAGAAAAGTGGGCCAGGGCGCGTCTCTAATCCGCTCTCGGAAGGCTTCCCAAATTGATTTATCAAAAACAATGGCCAGGCTTTTGAGGAATATTAATCCTCACAGTTTCAATATCGGGCAGCTCTGCCACCGCTTCCTGTAATATTGCCCTTCAGCCAGTCACGGCAGGAAGGTGAGTCCTTCATCTTCTGTTCAAGTACAAAGAGACAGTGGAAAAAGAAAAAGAGAAGACAAGCCAGGCAGCCATATATATACGCCAGACAAAAGGAAATCACTTCCTTTTATATTAGAAACTATCGCCTTTGTAATGAAATTCTCAAGGTGCATAGAAATGACTGTATATGCCATTCCCTCTTTTATGTTTATGTTAAGTGGATATTTTTTGAGCTACTAGTTTGATGGCATTGATTTATCAAATCTGCAAATGACCCATGCCAACAGCAGTGTTCTGGCGTTCTTTTAAGCCTGGCTCCGGTGAGCTTGAACAATGATTGGCTTTGTTTCCTGGAAAAACAGCTTTGATGATCCACATGACAGGAGCCAGTTCAGGCCAGATCACTACGAAGATCTCTGCTAGTGCTGCCAGCCAGCCATGGCCTGGTTTACATCACTGGCTCTACAGACTGGCTCACAGGCTGACTAAATATGTGGCTGGCTGGCTGGCTTACTAACCAGCTAACTGGCTGACTGTTTGGCTTTACATGTGACTGGTTGGATGGGTGGCCAACTGGCTGACTGTGCAACTGAACGACTGACTGACTGTCTTTTTGGCTTACTGGTTGACAGTCTGTTTTAAATGGTAACACATCTGTGAAGTTCAGCCAGAGGTAGTAGAGCTTCTTAGGTCATGAACATTATACCGTTTACTCTCTGATCCTACTGTGGCTATAGAATAACTGCACCTCACTAACTCTTGTAATGTAGAATAAGCAAAACCCCTGTATGAGAGCTGTTTTTAGGTCCTTTGGGAAAGATCCAAGTCAGTTAAGACAAGTTCAAAGCAAGCTCTCACTAGCAGAGTCTCTGAATGCTGAATGCTGCATTTGAGCATTGTTTGTTCAAAGATGTCATGATCACGCTTTCTGCCATAACTGATAACTAATTGGCCTGTGACTGTCTGAATTAAGTCTGACTAGAGTCTAACTCTAAGACTGCAGCTCCTCTCTATTAAACAAATCACATGATGGTCATGCAGTATCTTAGTTAGAAAATTCTGAAGATAAGTGATTAAAGATAAGCTTTCTCTGTGTGTATCTGCTGTCCCGTTCAGCTGGGGGAAAACAAATACTGCCATGTATAAACAAACAGACTTGGCTTCATGTTATGGAATATGAAGCTTGTTTAGGTGTGGATCCAAATCACGCGTTTGGGTTGGCTCAGAGGATTGATTGCTCTTATAGCAGATTATTCCGTGTTTGTCTTTGTTTAATCTAATCATTTTACCAGGATCAGTGGCCACCCTGTGTGTTTGTCTGCTACAAGCTGTCTAATTCCTCTCTCCAGCACATCTAAAAGCTTGTTTGTTTGTTCCTCCATTCCCCCAGTCTCTCGATCATTGTATCTGCCACTGTTTCACCATCTCTCTAACTTTCTCATCCACGTTTGTAAATGTGCATGTCTGTATATGTTTTCCTCTGGTAAAAGCTTGGCATAACTCTGATTTCCGACCCATAAAAAAGAAAAGTTCTGTGTCAAATTCCTTTTCTTTTTTCTTTTCTTTTTGCCATACTTTTAAATAAACCTGTCTGTCCCTCGAATTTTCACAATGTTTCACCCCTCTTGCAACAGCATTGGCATTAATATTATTATTATTATAGAGAAGGGAACCTAATTTATAGGCTCTATGCACAAGTCATACTGTTGGCAATAATGAGAAGGCAGGAGGGAAATTGGCTGCCTCCAGACTTTTAGATTCTTTTTGTAATTCTTTGGCACAACTTAATGTGTGTAAAGTTCAGCCATTTTGGTGCATTAGAACCAATGCAATTATTTTAAAACCTCCAGACTTGAGAGTATTTGAACATATTGTGAATATTTGAACAGCGTTTATTGCTTTATGTGGGATACTACTTGGATCTGACTAAGATTGAGGAAAATTTATATTGTCACCATCATTTTACATTTTATGTGTTTCTCCACAGGTCCAGAGTACGTCATGGATGCCTCATCAACAATATGTTATGCAACCTACAGTAAGTACTCTACCATTCACCTGCAGTAGCTGCCCTTTGACTCCCCACTGGGACCCACCCTTAGTTGAAAATCTATGGTTTGCCTCCAGTTTCTCCTCTCTGCTCAGTGTTAAGCCAGACTTGTTGAAAGGTTTTAGGAGGAACTCGTTAAAAGAAGTTTATTTCACGTTTGTGCTGAAAATAGTTTACAACATGAATGACTTTTTTGTATTTAGAGCAATGCAAATGATCAGAAAAATAGATTCTGTCTGGAAAAACGTTTAAGCCACATTCTTCCTCTGTCGCAGGTCAAATGTTAAACCAACTAAATTGCATACATACACATACCATACAGTGCCACATGAAAACTTCTGATAGCTAAATGATTACACCACGTTTGTCCTCTAGTTGCTATATGCAGCTCTATAAAAGCATATTATCCAATTCTGATAACCACATGTTTCCATCTTTTCTAAGTATACAAACACATTTTTGGTTGGGAGTTTATAGGTGTTAGATGTGCCAGGAAGTGATTCAGTATCATTTACCAGACCACAGTACAATACAGACTGTTGCTCTGGGTTACCAGCCCAGACAGCAGACAGGGAAAAAAAATAATATTAATTACATTTAGCTCACCAACAACATAGTCTGCCACAGCACAGCAGACATAGTCACATTGCATCCAATGGTATTCAATCATCATAGTTGAGGAGCACAGAACATAAGTAATCTGAGAGTCTAAAATGTTTTTTTAGGTCACCCAGTCTGCAAAGAATCTCCAAACTAATGAGTAATTTAATATTTTTCTTCTCTGGTAAAATCATGTTTTACTTCTTCTACTGAAGTATGATGGATCTTTCACTTTTTGATTACAAGTTAGAAAACAAATAGATATGTTTTTCAGAGACTCAAATAGCCCTGCATTTATGTTCACATTTTGCAATCATGTTTTACTGTACCAACAGTATTGTTTGGAATACGTCCCAGATTCGCCTCCCTAATGTGGTAGAAACAAAGAGCATTAGTAGTTTAGTAAATTGCTCTAAGATTGATCCTAGCACCATGAGTGTTCTCATTTTGTTGCTTAGAGGATTTAAATCATTCTGCCAGAGGCTTTTATGTTTGCTTGAGGCTTTTTGTGGCCCCTAAAGCACATTCAGTGTACATTGTTCTCCATAGCTCTGAACTAGTCACCGGCACGTGTGTTAGATTGTTTACAATCATAAAACAGTTTCACTGACTGTACCATGGACAAAAATTAGCCAAATTCACTTCTTACTCTAAGTCTGTTACAATACAGTGCCCTGCTGTCCAATACAGAGTGCACTTGAATATTTCATACTCTAGAGTAAAGCATATCATTGTAAAAGTTTGCTGTACTATAAAGTGCATTATTGTAAATATTGTATTGTTTTTGATGCAGTAAGAAATTTCTACCCTGAGGGTAATGCAAGTTTTTTTTTGCTGAAGTGATGAATCACACAGCCACATAATTTGCTTTAGTATTAGAATTCACTATTCTGTAAGACTCTGTACCATTGAGTAGATAATATGCATGCAGGGTGAATAGATAATACCTTACTTATAAGATTTATAAGCCAAGATGTTTGGGAAATATCTTGCAGTGCAGTGTAATACAGTGTTATATGTTATTTGGTTAAATACACACTGTAAAGTTAGCAAATACCAATCTGAAATCCTTAAAATAATATGAAAAACCTCTCAGAGTTAACCAATAAGCCACATTTTCATTTGGTGCACATAGTAATAGACACCTTCAAAATGAAATGAACTAATATTTTTTATGAGCTGTTTCTGAGCTGAAAAAATATGTTTGCCTCAAGCAACCCATCAAAGTGTCAATAGCATTGTTAGCCTGAGTCACAAAGGCAACTGCTTGCGAGTCCCTGTGACTGAACGAATTGGGAAACACTGGACTCTACAGCTGATGGTCCAGCACTCACTCACTGGAGGAGTGCTCAACCAGCCGCGTGGCTCCCCGCCGTGGCCATTTACCACTCAGTCCTACCCATCTCACTTCCACTCCCACTGTGGGACAGTGAACATGTAATCTGGTCACAGCAGGCCACCAGCTAGGCAGAGACACACACACACACACACACCACACCCAGTTGCAGCTGCCCTCCAAGCCGCTCAGTTTGCCTTTCAGCCACACGAGCTCCTGTCTTTCCTACGAGTATTTTAACTCACCTTCTCTTCCCTGCAGTAGCTTGCTACCTTTGCAGTCAGCACTGTACTTTCCTGGTGACACTTGTTTCACACAGGATTAAAGTGAGCTCACTAACAAGCTAACTATTTTTACTGCTGCTGCTGAGTCTGCCTGTTGTGAGAGTGAAGATGTCATGGGTGGTAGACAGTATTACAATGTGAATGACAAGAACAAGATATCTTATAGTGTAGCTGTTCAGCATGTGCAGTGCTGTCTATTTGTGTTTATGTGTGTGGCGCTGCATACACTTGCACATCTGTATGTGTCCGTGCATCTATACTATATCATTGTATGTGTTTCTTTATATGTGCATACAATTTTCTTCACCTTCTGGCATCTTCTCAGACACTCTAGTCATGTGTTGTTAGGGTTGGTCTGTTAGCACGCAGCTTCATCATCTATGTTTGTGTAGCTGCTCATGTTTGCCTGGTCCATGTTTGTGTTCACTGTATGTGTTATGTAGTGCCATATGTGTGGTCCATACTGGTTATTCCCAACCAGCCCATACGGTTGCCTGACGGCCATCCATCTTCCAGCCTTATGTCATGAGGCCTCATGGAGCCATTGGCAGTAGCCACTAGCCAGTAGCCACATTCTACTGTGGTGTACGTCTCATCATGCCGTCATGCCAGCAGTAACCATGTGGCCATATCTGTCCCCATGGCCCCGTCCCCATTGTGTTACAGTGGCTCTCTGTCACCAAACGGCTGCTAGGTGCTAACCCCAGCTGTCACCATCGTCAGTGGATAGCTACCAATCTGTCTCCCTTTATGACCCGCGCTCATATCCGCTACCAGCTACATACACAGCAGACTGCCCCTTACACACACACAGCCTGCTACCAGCTCAGTGAATCACATCAAATTAGCCAAGCATGCTAGCTTCAAGAGCTCAGGGGCCTACTCAGAGCATTAAAAACCAATTGATTGTGCTGCAGTTTGGCGGCTCCCACCACGTGTCGCATGTTAAACCAATGGAGCGTTGTGCAATGGTACTCCTGGTGTCCAGGCAATATGGAGGCAACTGAGCATGGACGGGGGGAAGGGGGTCACAGCTAGCCAGTCAGACTGTGTAGAACGTAACAGACATGGTCAATGTGTGTGTATTGTAAAAAAAATAGTAGTACAGTAACAGGGAAACTTTGGACCATATCTCTGCAGGCTCTCCTGATACATAACTGATAATTGACTGCTTGTTGTTGGTTTTGATTTCCTGGTGAGAGCTAAAGCTGCCATTTTATGCTTATTTGAAGTTACCTGTACTTTCTGGTTGAGCCAAAAAAGCAGTCATCCTCTATTAAAAATGCCTGCTATGAAATAAAAAATAATATCATGATAAATTGTCTGGATCAGGAGCTTCCACTGCGATAAAGAACTCGCTAAGAAATTATTTCCTGACCTTTAAAGTGTTAAGTACAGTAGCTCTCACTAGCACTAATTCAGCATGTTCATAAAATGATGCAAAAGGTCGGTGGAGCTATATAGTTAAAAACTTTGTTAATTAGTTACTGCTGATGCTGTGTTACTACATTGATTTGTTTACTCATGTTGATGTTTTTCTTTATTTCTGCCATCCGGTGCCTTTGTAAACTTAAACTCCATTAGAAAATGGTGTAATATAATAGAAATAATAGATTATGTATTGAATGGCAGTAAATTAAATTATGTTGAAGTTGAGAACAACTTGACCGAGAGTTTGCGTGTTGCTAGAGCATCAAAGCATGTACCGCTTCTGCAAAGGTGTTGGTTTTTATCTGACTAGATTAAGTTTGACAGGTCCATCCATACGAAACTGGACTTCATCCCGCAGAGGAGCCAGCACTTTGTTAGCAGTAACAGAGAGAGAGAGTGAGGAGAGAACAGTTTTCAAAATTTGTTTATCTCCAATTAATGGGCGAGATGCACTCTGCGTGGAACTTAATAGAAAGTGACAGTGTTTTTTAAAGTGGACAGCTAAATGAGGTTGCAGCTTGTTCTTCCAGACGTTCTTTCTTTTTTCCTCTGTTTATCACTTGTCTTCCCTTTCTCTCTCATACTGTTTCTCAGATCTTCTAATGCCGCGCTCTGTTTGGCAGTTAGGCGTGGGATGTCAGAACAGCATGACTGCTTGCCTTTTGTGCTCTGTTTTCTGGTCAGTGCTACACAAGTCAGCAGACCTTGTAGAAGAGAAGAAAAGACCCCAAAAGACAAACACTAACATGCAGCTCACACACAGATGCACAAATGCCTAAACACACATATTGTTTTAGTGCAGCAGAAACACATTCTTAATGGTAAATCTCACTTATGTACAGATCATCAATCACACACACAGACTCTCAAATTCACTTCACACTGCCGAGTGCCGGAGTAGCTGCAGTGCCAGCCAAGCGCAGCATTGCTGTCTTTCCCCATGACTTATCCATCCCCTTTTTTTCTACTTTTCCTCACTGTGAACTGTATGTGTTTAAAGTGTGTATTTGCTGGAGTGCATTGGCCCTTACATACTGGAGGTGAATTATTGAATTCCTCTCCATTGCACCCCAGCCAGTTCTCCCTGGCTTCGGCTTTGAATAGACGCTTGCTGGGCCTCTTAGAATTGAACCATAACTATCTGCCCTCATCGGATGGAGGTGAATCGGTGCACTGTGTGATACCCATCTCCCCGCTTGACATGAAAAACGCTCCGCGGATTCAGAAGGGGAACATTATGTTGGTCTCATGGATTTGACTGGCGAGGCAGAATTTGAGACAGGGCTACAGTCGTCCTTGAGTTGCTCTCCTCTCTCTGTCTTTTCATCCCTCTCTCC